GTGGACATGGGGGGGGGGGGTTGCTGTTGGCATGTCCTGAAGGAGCTAGTCAGGAGGAGGACCCACAAAGTATGGTGGGGATTCTAAGTGCAAGCCCCCAGGATAGCCAGGGATTGAGGGGTGATTGGGGGGCACCCCTGTAGGAACTGCCTCGTTTCAGGGGGCACATGTATCCTGCATCCTGGGAGCTGGGGGTGAATTCCTGGGCAGGACTTGGGGACTGTATGGCATGTCGAGGTTCATTCACGTGGCAATTCAGTGTTCATTTTCACACTGCTTTTATGTAGTCCTGAGTCTTAGGAGATGCTTTTGGGCTTCTGAGTCCTTCTCGCCCCCCTCCCCAATTGACTGGCATAGGGTGGTATTGGTGCAATTCCCAACTCACCCTCTCTATTTCCTCTGTCTGCTGGTGAACTGCTGAAATTAGCTTCATCCCCATGAAACCCACCCTGTCTACGACCCCCCCAGATGCTGCCTTCTCTACCCCCATGAACTCCCGTTGCTTAAATCCCTGAGCTACCAAACCCTGCAGCTCATTTTCATGTCACCCCCAATGCCCATCCTTGCTGCTCTATGTGAAGGAGGGCATCCTGGCTCCTTCAGAGAAACTAGTAAATTATCCAGAGACCCCCAAATGTTATGGGTACCCCATAAATAAAGAGCCATGAAAGCAATCCAATGTGTGCAAAGTGCCTCAAAGAACTGGGGTGCATGGTCTGAATAAGCCAGAATATTTACCTTCCAGTCCTCTCCTGCCCTGAGTGCAGGTCCCATTGCTAACAAGGGAGTTGGCTGGTCCCGCCTGTTCTAAAATCTTAGCTGGCTACAGATTGGCACAGGCAGCAGTGGGCTGATACATGTGACTGTACCTCCACACTGCACAACAATGAAATGACGTGAGCCTCAGGTGACGTGTGAGCTCTTTGGGGCAGGGACTTTTGTTTGTACAGTGTCCAGCATAATGGGTCCCTGATCCTGATTGGGGTGTCTAGGTGCTTCTGTGATAGAAATAATAAATAATAAACATAATGAATACTTTGCTCTGCTGTAGCGTCTTTCATCCTGGGATCTCAAAGCTTGTGCCAAACAATTGTTAGCTGAGCTCCACAACACTCTCACAGAGGGGGAAACTGGGTCACCACAAGGAGTTAAGGCCAACATTTTCTCAAGTGGATCCATTATTCTGAATATTGTAGTTTTTGGGTGAGAACGTAGTCTGATTTTTCATGGGATCCATGGGATGCACGGAAAGGACCAGGATCTGTGGGTGTTTGGCACTGGTGGAAATCTGAAGTTTGGTACCCAAAAATGTCGGCATCCAGAGTCAGTTGCCACTTTTGAAAATTGGACTGCATGCGACTTGTCCCATTCCTGGGTGAGGTGGTCAATGACGTAAGTTAACCGTCGGTGGGTGAAAGGGAGTCTAAGTAGGCCAGTTTCGGAAATGGTGGTGAAAGCCTCGTCAGACGTGGGTCTGTTACGCCATTCAAGGCATGTAAACAGGCAGTGCAACTTGGGAGCAATCTAAATGTGCGGCATGTGGGACTGTCATGTGGCACAGCAGTTGGTTGGCTGGATTTGAATGGCTATTGGCCGTCTAAGTGGCAGGTGGAATGGGTGTGCATATCTCAGCGATGATGATTAATTCTATATATATTGCCTTAAGTGCAGGTGATCCGAACCTCACAATCTAATGTATTTATCCTCACAACATCCCTGCTATTATCCCCACTTTACGGATGGGGAGATAAGGTACAGAGAGGCTAAGGCCGGGGTCTGCAAGGGGCTTAGGTGTCTAGTTGCAACGTTAAGCACTTAAGTCCAGCATTTAGGCTTGGTCTACTACAGAGTTAAGTCGACATAAGGCAGCTTACGTCAACCTCATTATGTCAGTGTCTGCCCTAGAATGCTGCTTCCACCAAAGTAAGTGCCCTGCTATCCCGGTATAATAACTCCACCTCTATGAGAGACGTAGCACTTATGTCGGTGTAGTTAGGGAGCCGCAGTGTCCATGTACACACTGCGTTATTTACATCAGTTCTTGGCTGTCATTCTTGTCAGTTTCATGGCTGCCTCTGGCTCAGAGCAGCACTGCTGGGCTCACAGCTGGAGCCATGAAACTGACAAGAATGTCAATTTCACTGCTGGTAGGATCTGTGCTGTGAAATTGAGCCTGGCGCTGGTCTCACAGCTGGCCCTCCACCGCAGCTGTCAGCCGGGCACTGAGCTCACAACTGGAGCCCCCACCCTGGGAGTGACAGCCTCCTGTTTCCCACTCACATTTGCCCCAGGTAGTGGGGCTCCATTCGGGTGCATGCGTCTGGCCATGCAGAAATGTTTGCAGGATCAGGGCCTTAGGCTGTAGGCTCCCCCAACTTTCTCTGCACCTCCCTCCCCTGCGTGGACCTTCGTAGCCCAGCATCTTCTGCCTGGGGACCAGGGTCCCCGAAGTGCTGCAGCCTAAGGGTCACATGTGACCCAGAATGTCTTAAAAGGTGGCAAGCGTAGCATAACCGCAGTGGGGAAACCATCACTGATTCACTGCAGGTTTGTTGTGCTGGCAAACTCTGCCAACAAGCCATTCCCAGCTGTCTATCAAGGCAGATGCAAGGAGGAGCAAAGACGATTTGTGAGGGCAACACTTAGCTCTGGTTTCTAAATGGCACATAAATCAAACATGGCCCTCAGGTTACTCGGTGGTGCCACAGAGCCCAGGTGCCCCTCCTCCAGGAGCTGAGGAATGACGTTATTTACTACCCATGGCTGGTAGGTGCAGCCCACAAGGGCTTTGCCAGCCCCTGCAGGCGGCAAAGGGTTAATAAAACACTGGCTGTCATTCCCACACCCTTCTTTCCCCTGCTGCTTTGGGAATCCACCTCATGTTCCTCTCCTGTCCCCTGCAGAGGCGCCTTTGTAGAAAGGTTCTAAGGTTGTAGAAATATTTTCAGCTGATAGCCTTGATTAAAAACATTCCCCACCCTCTCCGCAGCATCTTCGCTCCTTTGGGGACTAGTGGCCAAGGCCATCATCTGTGGGGGAAGGAGCGTGGCGCATCCTTGTGCCGAACCAGCCCGTCAGCCCCAGCCCGTCGGGTATGCAGACCCCTGAGCAGAGCAAAGGAAGAGGTGTAGGTGGAGATTTTTGCTGGAGCAGTAGCCTTTAAACAGTGCTGGAGCTGCCACGGCTTGTTGTCAGCCTGCCTGGCCTAGTGGAGAGAACAAACTGTACTTGGCACTGGTTATAGCTGTACTTTCTAGTGCCAGCCCTGCTGGGGGCTGCTGGGAATCCTCAGGGGCACAGTGGGAAGGAAACCTCCTCTCTAGGCTCCAGAGAAGCAGCGGTTCCACTCCACAGCTGCCCATCCGCCCTAAGAACTGGCGTAGCTCATGCTGCCGGAGGCTTTTTTTTGCAGTAGTCGTATTAAGTCTGGCGGGGGGGGGGCCTTGCCACCACGTGGCCTTAGTCTCAACAAGCTCTCTTTGCCTGAGGGAGAAAGGTACTAGTGTCCCTTAAGAAGCCTGGGGGATACCTCCAGGGCCTTCATTTAAAATTTGTATTTTAACATGTCCTGGGAATTGATCAGTTTTTATTACAAAAGAACCCAACAACAAATAGGTGAAAACTGGTGCAAAAAATTATCTTCACAGTTTTCTGGGTAAATATCAGGGTTAATTTTGGGGGACGGGAGGACAGAAAAAAAAGCAACAAATAGAGGAAGATAAGACTATTGAACGTAAAAGCAGTTTAACGCTCTGGTTCGTTTCACGAACTGTACGTTAACAGTAGGTACACATGGAGGCACATGTCTGTATGTGTGCATCTTCCCCACTACATTGTCTGACTTTAACCGACAGCGTCACATTGACACCAAGACTCATGTATCATTAACGGAAAAACATCTACCTATTGCAGTGGATTAGATGTTCTGAACTTACTCAGTCTGTTCATGTACTTGACTGGTTAAAAATTTGGGTGAAAAGCAGGAATACCCCAATAATAACTTTTGTAAAACGTGGGAACTTGCTGGTAAAAATTATTAAAAACTGAAAACAAAGGGCCGTAGGGATGCTCCAGTCAAGCACCTGGCTGTAATTCTGAGGTTCCCTCCTTGCCCAACTCCTAGACCCTATATTGTTTTCCTGGCTAGGGGATTGCTACAGTGCCTGGCAGCCTCCTCTCTGCACCAGAAGATGCAGAGGGGTCTCATCTATCTTTTGCTCCCTGTATACCTGCTGCCTGGTCCCCTTCCCACCCTGGCAGCTCCATTAGTGCCTTCCCAGCCTCTGCCCCTCCCCAGGCTCCATATGCAATCCCACACAGCCTGGTTTCTTTCCCCAGCCTCCCCTGATGCTACCCATTCAGCAGGCAGGCTGGCTTGTTCCTGCCCGCTTTCCCAGCCCTCTGCTGCTGGCTCTCCACCTGCCAGTTCTCCACCCAGGCCTGCTCCTCCATTCTTCCCTGGACCTTTAGGTGTTGTCTCTGCTCCCAGTGTGTGTGTCCCCCTGGGGCCAGCTATTTAAAGGGTATTTGTCCTCCTGGGTCCAGGCCACTGACCTAGGTCTTCCTTCTCACGTCCAGACAAACCATGACACAAGACACTTGGGTGGGTGGGGAATGAACCTGTGGGTCTGCTCTAGTATTATCCCCATTCTACAGAGCGGGAACCCGAGGCACAGAGAAGCAGTGAGTCAGCAGCGAAGCTGGGGTTAGAAACCAAGGCTCTTGATGACCCTTCCTCTGATCTAACTAGAACACATTGCAACCCTGAGTTGGGAGGCAGGCAGCATCGCTTTGTATTCTCACCCTGCTCTTGGGTCCTAGCTAGCCCCACCCTCCCTCATTTTGTGACTCATTCTGGCACCTCGGCCCAATCCAGAACCCGCTTGTGCAAAGCCCGGTTGTGAAATCAGGCAGCTGGCGCACACATGGTTCACAGGAAACCTTTATTATCTGGACCTCAGCAAACTTGTTCCTGGATCACTGTATAGAGATTTGTCTGAAAACGCTGGGTGTGTCCACGTGGTCACTTTGCTTCTGCACCCCTCTGCTAGTCCTCAGGGATGCCTACAGCTGTGGTTCTTATGATGATAGGCACTTTGGCCACAATTGTGGTCATGGACCAGGGAAGGTAAACTGTCCCTATCAGCTCATACCGGACTTCCATGATTTCATTGGCTATGGACATGCTGCTGACAGACAGTAACTTGGGCAGAGAGAACATGCTGGTGATCCTTGTGACCTCAAAGGGGGCTGCCTTGGTCCTGGATTCCAGCCTCATCACTTCGTTTCGGTCTTCTAAGGAGCGCCGTTCTGCCCTGACGGTGTAGCCCAGGTAGAGGATGATGGAGTACAAGGCAAAAACCACCTTCCTGATGGACCTGCCTGTCTGGTTGTCGATCTCTGTCGTGAAGATGATCTGTTCACCGGGGGCGAATGTGTTTTTCACCAGGGAAATCCGGAGGATGACGAGGCCGTGTTTGAAGCAGCAATGATAAGCTACGTGCTTGTTGACTTCCACCACCAAAGGGTACTGTATGGGGAGGGGAGGTAGAGTACGGTGAGTGCCTATCACAGGATACAATATGATTGCCTCGGTTCCTTACCCACATGGAACTGCAGTTGCAGGAGCAGAGGCTGCTTCACACTGAAAGAAATCTGCAGACACCCAAAACTTCATGCTGCATGTGTGGCCCTTTGTACGTCATAGAAGCTGTCACTTGAGCTAAAGGAGAATTTGTGTTAGCAGTACAGGGCATGTGACACACAACTTAGCAGTCCTGATTCCATCCAGTAGAGCGCAAGGGAAATGCCCACAATATATATCTACACCAAATTCAGGGGAAGGTCACAAACAGACCATTAAAAGTAGCATTTTCTCACCATCTTGATGCAGTGATTAGCATTAGGTCTCAGGCCTTGGCTACACTTACCAGCTAGTTCGACGGCTGGAAATCGAACTTCTGGGTTCGACTTATCGCGTCTAGTCTGGTCGCGATAAGTTGAAACCGGAAGAGCTCGCCGTGGCGCCTGGGAAGCCAGG